TAGGGCGCAATCTTAGCACATCACACGAACGAGGAACGGCGCTTCCTTGCGAAAATTTAACATTTCGTGCTCTCGTGTGAGGCAGCGCGAACACATGAGACACGCACCGAAACGGCATGCCCACAGAAACAAAGAAGACAAACAACATGTGGCTTTAGCTGTGAATGGATTTGACCTTGATATCTGTGTGAGAAAAATAAAAAAAAACATCTGTCGCTGCTATAAACTGAAAAAAAGTGTATGTTATCTGGCAAAATAACTTTAAAAGTGATAAACGGTTATTCAAAAAACAAGTTAAAACTTATGAATATTTTCGCAGGTCTTTGTTTTGTTTTTGTTCTAGCAGACGACAGCCTCCTACTGCTTCTACGACAGGCGTAGTGCGGTTTCACGTTCGGTGCGTGTCGCCGACGCAAAGCTCTACAGTAGTGATATCAGAGTTATCAATTCTCAATGAATCATAGGATGGCTACAAAGCAGTAACATTTTGACATAGTGCAGTACGCAATCTTTCAAGGTATGACATTTCTTTGCTCTGAAGCAAATCGAAGCAAGCCGGCCGGCGCAATCAGCTGATGTCGTCACTACGCGAGGCATGGTCGTGCGCAATAGCGTCGCGCCCCGCGCTCGATTTGTCATCAAGCGATAGAGCTATTAAGTGGAATACAGCTAGATGCAGGGATTAATGGCGTATCACTCTAATTCCCTGTGGTGGCCGACTCAATCGCAAGAGAGCCCCGGGAAACAACCTTCAACTGTTCAAGCTTGTGTGTGGGTGTAAAAATACTTGTTTTCATCCGCGGCGGGACAGCAATCTATAGTTGAAAGACATGCGAAAAGCATGTGACGTATATACAATCCCAAAACATATGCACACAACAATAGATACGATTGCATATCGTACATAAATGTGCCAACACATAGCGTGTAAAAAGCAAATTTATATACATAACTTAAACGCTCGTGTCCCTCAGCGCGACTAGCTTAGCAAGACGAAGACGACGTTCTGAACGGACGCGTTTTTCATGTTCTCCGCTTCGAAGAATTTATCGGCCATGGGCCGAGGTGCTGCTCAGGCTTCAGCCAGCGGCAACGACTACCGTGTTGTACTTCCTCGCCTTCCCACTGGTAAGCTTGTTGTGGACTCTGTCTTTTTACATGCGGACTTAGCTGGTCGCCCCTACCGGGTTCAAGATTTTAGAGATGCTCTTCGGGACATCATTGACTTGAAGAAAATAAGCTCCATAGGTCAATTTCAAATGTCTCATGTTTGGATGGTCACACGCAAGTCAACGCTGACGAAAACAAAGTTGGTCACAAGAGGCGAATTTTTCGTCAAAAGTCGTCGATGCCTCGTTATAGACCCGGAGCCCACGGAAGTGAAGTTGAAGCTTATGTGGCTTCCTGAGCGCTTAGAGGACGCCTATGTGTGCGAGGCACTGCAAGCTTTTGGGAAGGTCAAGACAATATCACAAGAAAGCTGGAAAGTAGTGGACATGGAACAAATGCGGACGCTAAATAGGGATGCTGTTTTGTCCCTTGCTGATGGAGTTCGCATTGCGGATATTCCTCACATTATTGTTGTCTGCGGAGTGCAAAGCCTCGTCCTGATACCTGGCCGCCCACCATTTTGCCTTCGGTGCAGTAAGATTGGACACATCCGTCGAAACTGCAGGACCCCTCGCTGTGACAACTGTCGACGCTTCGGTCATTCGGCCGAAGATTGTGTTATGACATACGCCAACAAGCTGCGACAGCACACAAAACAGCCAGATGATAACCTACAAGAGCATATTATGGATGCCACCGAGGTTTTGGATGCAACGGGAGACACTCCGTTAATGTCATATGCTGCAAGCTCTGCCACAAGGAATTCAGAAGAGGAAAGAAAGTCACTCGCTGTTGACACAGTTGAAACTTCTGCGTGCAAAGAGCCAAGTGAATCATGCAAGCAGCATACCCCTAGCACAAGTAGGAGTTCCTTTGGAGAGTGCTGTTGCGCTGACCCATAAAGATGCCGAAGAACCACCGGTACAAGATAGAGACTCTGGGCTGGATGCCGCAGAAAGTTCATCACCTGCTTGCGCTGCAGCTCCGCAGCAGCTTTTTCATCATGGTGCAGTGTCGGAAGATGATATGCAGATCTCTACGGATACAGCAATACTGAAACGTCGCGCATCGTCCAGCTCGGATTCAAGCAAAGAGAGTGACACAGCGTCAGTGACTAGGGAGTCACGCCGTCGCCGAAAGTTAACGCCAAAGGGGAAGTGTCGCCGATCCCGATCTAGGGGGCCTGCTGGGGGCTCACGGGAAGCCTCAGCGCCAACTCTTGGGACTGATCAAGTGGGACGATAAGCGAATTAGAGGGTAGTCACCATGGCGCAGTCTGAGCGACTCATATTTGCCACCTTGAACGTACGCGGCCTTAGGTCTTCGCAGAAACAAGCACAACTCCGCAGACTTCTCAATCGGAAGCGTCTCGACTTTGTCGCCATTCAAGAGACAAAGATCGAGAGCGAGGAAGAGACCGAGAAGGCCCTGCGGCCTTTTCTGTCTCAGTTTAATGTATGTGTCTCACATGCTAAAGGTTTATCTGCGGACTGTTGGTTGTTTCTGAGAAAAAGCCTACCCTGTTCAGCATTGTGCACTAGTGTTGATGAAGAGGGCAGGTATATATGCTGTGATTTTTTGTTGCAAGGAGTGCCATGGAGAATCATCAATCTATATGCGTTTAATCATGTTCCGAAACAGCTTGAGTTATTTGAAAAAGTGCGTAATTTAATTGACGTCGACAGATGCACGGTACTTATGGGAGATTTCAACTGCGTATGTGAAGCTATTGATCGTTATAACTCGTCTGGAAAGAGAGACAGGAGTGGTGAGCTTTTAATCGGTATTGTAGATAATGCAGGACTAATTGACATCGGGGTCTCGAATCGGGCAACAGCATATACAAGAGTACAAGGCAGCTCTCATGCTCGCCTTGACCGGATTTACGAGTCCTCATCACTCCTATCTCGTAAAATTTCCTGCAGCACCGAAGCTGTATCATTCTCAGACCATTGTATTGTCATAGCGCAAATTGGCGAAAAAAGTCACAAACAATTCCGTCCCCAGTGGGCCCTTTGGAAAGTGAATGCGAAGCTCCTCTGTGATCAGGAATTCATGAATCGCGTCCAGATGGCATTGAGGCAATCTTTTTCGAGTGGTTTTCATATCTTCGCTGCTTGGGAGCTTTTTAAACAAGAAGTTCGCTCTATAGCTTTAGAAATGGGGGCTGTTAAGTCTTTCTATTGAAAGAATCATAAAAAGATACTTGTTAAAAGTCTTTGCAATCTTTATGAGATGGAATGCGAAATGCCGGGAAAGTACATCAAAGATATTGAGAATATTAAGTGCCAACTACAGAGATATGATGCTGCTCGCTACCAAGGGGCACGTATTAGATCTCGGAACCAGCGCACTTTAAATTCTGAGCAACCGACGCGCCAAGCTTTACTTGATGAGCAACGCCATGCGATTTCTAAAGTTATTCCAGACTTGTACTTTAACGATGTGCTCATAAAAGATAACGGAGAGATTACATTGGCGTTCGAAACGTACTATAACAGCTTATTTAGCTGACCCTCTGATGATCCTGACGCTCACCTCAAGGCTAGTTTTGTTTCTCTTGTGAACCCCTTGAAGGACAGTGACTGTGAAGTCATTAATGGGCCCATTACTCTACAGGAAATCGAGCAAGCAATCGACAACTTGCCTTTATTGAAAACACTGGGGCCTGATGGCATCTCAGGCGAATTTTACAAAGCTTTCAAGATAACGCTTGCTCATATATTGCTGAATATTTTTCAGATGAGTTACGACATGGATACACTCCCACAATCTTTTTGCAAAAGTCACACTGTGTTAATACCGAAAACAACTGATAAAGAAAAACTTCGCTTCATTGAGGGCTACAGACCAATATCGCTGTCAAATGTGGACTACAAAATTTTCGCAAAAGTATTAGCAAATAGGTTGCAATTTGCTATGTCGATCCTCATTGGGTCTCATCAGACATGTGGGATCAGAGGTCGATCCATACAAACCAATATACATGTCGCTCGAGCAATGCTTCAATACTGTCATGGTTCTCAAGAACATCTTGCAATGCTACAGGTAGACCTTGCAAAAGCTTTTGATCGTGTTCGTCATTCGTTCCTGTTTCACTTCTCGAACAAGCTAATGTTGGCAAAGTTGTTCTTAAAGGCGTTAAATTATGCTATAATGAATGCTCAACTCGTCTGATAGTTAATGGTGAACTCTCCAAGCCAGTTTCTTTTCGCTCTTCTGTAAAACAGGGATGCCCGATGTCACCTCCTTTATTTGCACTTTATCTAGAACCACTGTGCTTAAGCATAATACAGTCGAGTTGCATTCATGGCTTAAGAATATTAGGCAGTGAGGTTAAAGTATTGGCTTATGCAGATGATGTCGCACTCTTTTGCACAGATAAACCAAGTGTCGAAAATGTGGTATATACTATTGAAAAGTTTGGCGTAGTATCAGAAGCTCGTTTAAATGCCTCTAAAAGTTTATAACTGTGGTTTGGCTTGTGGGGTAGCACAACGAACTACTTTGCAGGGATTAATTGGACAAGAACACCTCCAACATACCTCGGTGTACCATTGCATGCATATAGATTCAGTGCGCATTACTGGAAGGAACGTGTCCCTAAGCTTGAACGACATGCCCAGACATTTGTGCCCTATCGACTTTCGATATTTGGGAGAGCTGAATCTTGCAATACTTTCCAAGCGACAAAACTTTACTATGTATTGCAACTTATTCATTGCGCAAGATTCTATATACAACGCTTTCATCGGATTTTCGCTACTTTCATATGGTTTTCGACTTTTGAGCCCATGCGTCGTGATAATATATTCAAGCTAGTTAGTGAGGGTGGGTTGGGACTAAAACACCTTTATTTATGGCAAATAGTGTCCAGATTCTTCTTTTTTTGAGACAATTCCCATCCTGTAATCTGTTCCTTCTTGCAGGTTACACTTGTTGATTGCTTACCAGATTTAATTGTTTCATCCAACTTCTCCGAACGCCCATGCTTGTGGGGATTCATGCAGGAAGTTTACCTCGCAGCTCAGTTCCTTAAAGCTCGCTTCTCTGTAGAATACCTGTACTCAGTAACGCGCAAGGTGCTTTATAAGGACCTACTGAGTACACTCTTCCTACCTCCATTGTACCGTTCACTGTACGCCAATCTTCCTGGTCACGATGTGTTGAAGCGAGTTCGCAAAATGTACATTCCACCGAATTCAAAAACATTCTTCTATAAACTTCACTCTGAAACATTGGCGGTAAACACATGGTTAGAAAGAAAAGATATTTTCATTCCGTCTGTTAACTGCCGTCTATGTGATGTGCCGGAAACGATTGAACATTGCTTTGTTAGCTGCAAAGTTGCCATACTATTTTGGGATGTCCTTCAGCGAGCACTGAAAAAACGTTTCGTCATAAATTATCACACAATACGTTATCTTCTGCCAGCAACACTTGATGAAGTACCATATGATATGTTTTTCCTCATAGGTTTGCACAGCTTGTGGAAGACACGAATGCAAGACCGCAATGTAGAGCCCACCACCTCTTCAAGCGCACACTTCATTCAAATGGCTATCCACCTAAAAAACATCTACGACGAGCTAGACTTTAGACCGGACTGGTACTCTGTCTTAGAGAACTGTTTGACCTCACCCCTTTTTTGTTTGTATATCACGATGTGAAGAACTCTTCATGTGAGGAACTCACGCTGTGTTAGCCATTTAGTGTTTATGAGTAACGCTTGAGCGCTTACTTTGGCGATTTGATTGTACTTTTGTTCGCTTGATATTGTCTTTATTGCCCCAGTACTTTAATAAATACCATGAAAAAAAAGCACGACTAGCTTAGCAAGCTAACGCACTCAGTTCACGTACGCGAGCACAACTGAGTGGCGCAGGTTCGAGTCCCGCCAAGTATAATATTTTTTCAACGTTTTTATTGTACTGCTATCTTTTCTAATGCTTCAGGTTCTAAAACAAAATAAAAGCAATATTGCGTTCAAGTACGGATGTGGGACTGTGTTTTTTTTGCAACAGTTAATAGTATTTTTATTTTCGTTATTAATTTTTTATTTATTTTATAATATAACAAAATTAAGGACTAAGGGGAACATTGGGTCTGCTTGATTGTGACGGGACTCGAGAAGTGAGAAAACTCAAACCAAAAAATTTATTTGAGAAAAAACAGAGCATTTCTCAGCCGGACCAGATTCTTCAAGGGTAGGCCCTAGGTATGCGCGAGACTTGTTATATGACTCATCTCAAGCTGTGGCAGTTGAGGGAAGGCAATATCACCGAGAAGCAGTTCCAAAATATATTTGGTTGATGTTTTTTGATTCCTCCAAAATAAGGGCTGCACAATTGTGATCGAGCCAAACCAAGAATTGCGGGCACGAAGTCATGAGACAGAAAATAAATATAGTTGATTGTTTGAAAAATTGCCCTTAATAAAAGGAAGAGTTATGGAGTGCTACGTAGCTTAATTCGCAGTAGGAATTTTATATATACATATAGATAGTTTAAAATGGACAATGTTACACACACAGACATTGGTTAAGTTTTTTTGCAGCACAGTTGAAGCATCTATGTAGAACTGAAGCATCAAGAGAAGCTCATGCGTCCTCACTTTATTGCGCTTTACATAGCTTGCATGCGTCCATGCAGCCATGATATGATATATTTTAAAGCATTTGTTTAAGCTATAATCTTCTTATTCATTAAAGCTGGCCCATAAGTTGTG